AAGTGCATGTCCCTTTAGGTATCGATGCAGGTCGATGACTTTCTGTTCTCCTTCAGAAAGGAGTGTGCTTCAGAAAGATGCATTTTAATCATCCACTCTAACTCCTTTTTAGAACTCGAACATCATGCTTTATCATCTCTGTTTTCTGCCATACTTTGATCCTGCGAGATATTACTTATTTTCACCCCGTTTCCCCTTTGGTGCCCCTGCTTGTGACTGCACAGCCACCCGTGCAATCAAACCACTCCAGGTGCTTCAGCATTAACCACACGGGAGATGGCCTTGACATGTGCAGGCGCTGCAGCCCGGCACACACAGCTGGGCAGCCACAATTACAGGGTTTTCCGGGGGAACTTACCCTCATGTGCAAACACGTGTGTTTATATTGTAAATTCTTTGTGCAGAGGCTGGGTCTGACAAAAGGTTTATAGAGTATCTCACAGTCTAGGCATGGACACTAGAGACCAAATGTACAGCAGTGGAGATGTCAATCCAAGCAATTTATTTTTTCCTTTTGGTTTGGGTATTATTTTGGGGCACTTTCTTCTATGAAAATGTGTTCTGCTCATGCTTAAGGTCATTTACTCTTTAAGCTCAAAGTAAGGTGTCGGATAATTAATTAGGTACTCTGATAATCAGTCAAAGTATGCAGGTTTAAATTTATGAAGGACTGTTTGTACTCAAATGTACTTAATAACAGTATAATGCAGATACCTCACATGCTCTAAACCCTGTGTAAAATAATTGAAATTATGTACATAAATTATACATGAAGAAATTATCTGGTGATTAGCTTCACCAGCACTACATCATAAATAAGGTCAAAGGAACAGATCACAAAACTTTCTGTGAAGTCCTTTTGACATTAAAGGCATTCAGCAAATTTAAATTCTTCTGGACATCTAACTTCCTCCAACCATTGTTAGAAATGTCCCTTGTAGAAAGGATTCTTACTGCTAGACTGGTTGACTCAGACTACTGCTGTTCTTTAAATGTTCTTCAATTATTTTGTTGATGTTATCAGGGTGCTACAGTTTACTCTAAATCGATTTAATCTAATTAAAGGCCAAACCTACTAACCTTTCTTAGGTTCAATTCCATAATTACTGCACAGCTTGCTTACAAGAACAGAGTTACGGTTGCTCTGGGGGCTTTTGGTAGACATTTCAAGGGTAACTGGAATTGATCAGAACTTTCTAGGGGACCTCCAAGTATAGTTTTGAGATAATTCAGTTATTCCTGTGTTTACTTTATATCAGTGATACTTGCATTAAATTTCAACCCCTCTTTCACACAGTATTTCGGGTGAGGAATATAAATAGTAGCTAATGATTGCTACATTTACTAAGATTCAGTGTCAAAACTGCTGATTTTGTTAACAATATCCTTCTCATTTATACATAGTCCAGCAAGTATTAGACAGATATTACACTGCGGGTAAGCTTCTAAAAGGCTTCTATTTGAGAAGCTAATCTTTGAGTGGAATAAGCAGAGACAAAACCTTGTTTGAGTGGTGAAATGTAAGGACATGCAAAACAAAGGTAGCACTGATAAGGAATGAAAGAATTAAAATTAATGACCACAAACCTCTGATACCATTGTAGACAAAACCAATTTAAAATAGAGCTGGACCAACCTGTGAGCTAAAGGAAAAGGACACTAAAAAACTGACAATACTTGATTCTTTAAAAAGAAGCAGTCCTACATAAATTACATTATGTCTAAGTTTTTAAAGGTAGTATTTGCCAGAGATATGTTACATAGTAACTATTGGAAACTTCTTTCTCAAGATAAGTAGATACTGTTCAAATGCACAATAGAGATATATTAGCAGAAAATGCTAATATTTGGCTAAGGGATAGATTACTGGTCCATTAAATAAAAAAAGGCAAAAAATGTAAGATGAATCTATAGGCATTCTGTGGCGCGATATCTATCAGAATCAAAGCCAAAGCTAACGTAAAAACTGATAGTCCTGAAACAATTGATTTGATGTGGCTCAACTAATTTCAACAATGAAATTAGTTTAGCTTTTGATATAACAAATAATTTGATATTCTGTGGGATACTGTCGAGCAAAAAAGCAGATACAGCTGTGAAGAGTGAACATCAGGATGAAGGTCAGGCAAATGCTCTGTTCAGGTGGGTTCACTCCGAAGTAGTTGGGTGACCTAAGCACATACACCCTTTGCTCAGCTGCTGTTCTGAATGCATCAGTTTACTGAGCCAGGGTTTTTTCTGCAGATGTATGTAAAGGTGTTTGTAGCTTTTTTTTTTTCCCATCATGGATGGGCTTAGCAGTAAGGGAACCCCGCCCAGTTTGTTGCTACCTACCTTCAGTTGCAGTGCAGACAATTCAATGGTGTGCTGGTTTTGCCTGGGATAGTTAATTTTCTTCACGGTGGTTACTGGGGGGACGGTGTTTGCATTTGTGCTGAACACAGGACTGACAATATAGAGATGTTTTTTGTTATTGCTGAGCAGGGCTTATACAGAGCCAAGGCCTTTTCTGCTTTTTGTACTGCCACACTGGCAAGGGAAGTTGGAAATGCACAGGATGTTGGGAGGAGGCACAGCCAGGACATCTGCCCCCAGCTGACAAAGGGATATTCCATACCATATAACATCACGCTCAGTATAGAAAGTGGGGGAAGAAGGAGTATGAGGGAGGTGTTTGGAGTGATAGTATTTGTCTTTCCAAGTAACTGTTACATATGATGGGGCCCTGCTCTCCTGGGGATGGCTGAACACCTGCCTGCCCATGGGAAGCAATAAATTAATTAATGCCTTGTTTTGCTTTGTTTGCGTACACAGCTTTTGCTTTCCCTATTAAACTTTATTTCAACTCGCAGGTTTTCTGGTATTTACTCTTCTGACTCTCTCCCAGTCCCACTGGTGGGGAGCGAGCGAGAGGCTGTGTGGGGCTTGGTGTGGGATGGGGTTAAAGCATGGCAAACAGTAAAGGGCAAGCGAGCAGCTTTGTAATAACACTCTGTAAGCTTCTTGTCAAGCCAACAACAGCAGGTCCCAGAGGAAATGAGATATCTACTGTCAGTCGTGAAGTTTGCTTTTATCCAGCTTTTCTGAAAGCACAGATTGATGGAAGTACAATTCTTTCCTGCTCTGACATCTCTCTTCACATTCCAGGTGACTGGTCTAACCACTGAGCTGTAAAGTGGTATCTTTCTGTCAATCTGTGTTCCAATCAATTATTTATGCAAAGTGGAGCAAGGAAAGAAACTCCCCCCAGGATGCCCTGCAGCCCCAGGGCCAGGCATTCAGGGGTCTTGGTGCCCTTACTATTATTCTGGTGTTCTCCATTGCTGACTGGAGGGTCCCTGTGCTCTCCCTCTGTTGCGCTGGGAGAGTATTTTGTGGGGCCATGTTGTAGGCAGGATTAGAGTCCTGATCTGGGTTAAAGTGATGGGTTTTTTTCTTTTTTCTCTTTTAAGGTGGAATTACGACTTCAGTGCAATAAAACCAAGCTGCACATGTTCTCCACAAGACCTGCTAATAAAGCTCCCACCGAAATCAATGTCAGAGTTGCAATATTGCAGTATTTCAAAGGGGATGAGCTGCAGCCAAGGTGAATGTCTTGGAGAAAGCACCTGTAGAAAGCACCTTGGAGAAAGCTGTAATTTGTTCCCTGAAATTTGTTTCATTGTCAGAACCAGGATGAGCAAAAAAACCACCACAAATATCTCTTATATGAGTATAACTACACTCATTGGTGCTTCTAGAGATGCAGAGGTGCCAGGGGCAGTCCATTTAGGTAAGATATTAGAAATTCTTTACTGTGAGGCTGATGAGACTGGAACAGGTTGCCCAGAGAAGCTGTGGATGCCCCATCCTTCTCAGTGTTCAAGGAGAGTTCAATACTTGCAACTCTGCATCTTTTCTGAGCACAAGCAATTGATGTGTCATTGCAAATCCTGCTATGTGATTTGCACCTGCTCATCATGTGAGTGAATACAGTAATGAAGACTTCTCTTTCCTCTCTTAGTCCTCCCTTATACATAAGAATAACCATATATACAGAAAAATGATCCAGCTTTCCAATTCAGTTTGGCTTTTTTTGAGTTACCTTGTCAGGGAAATTGCTAAGTCATAGATAGATTTTATATCTATTAGCTCAAATAAACCCCTTGTCCATACGGCAGAAATTTTTGCAATGGTAGCTCAGAAAATGAAAAAGCTTTTCCCAGAAACACATCTATTGATGCCATCTCTCAGTTTGCCCCTCAACACCTGCAGCTGGTTCCCCTTTCAAGTAGTGAGGGTTTGTTTCCTGTCAAGGTGGTCTGTTAGTCACCATCTGAAGTTTTCTCTGTTTCTGTGTGTTCCCTCTGATGCTTTAGGTCTGCACAGGCTGTGATGTTGCCGTACCCTCGTGCCTCATTCAAGCGGTGATGGGTGTGAGCAGTGGCAATTTGCGGTTTCAGCTGCCATCTGTCTGTTGTGCACTTTTCTACACAAACATCTCTGCACTTGTGCTTCTCCTTATGCTACATTTATTCATCATTTCCTTCACGTATGTATATTGTAAGTTGTTCGGGGCAAGGTCCACATTCTTATTCTTCCCTATGTACAAACTTAGCATAGGTCTTATACGGACTGTATGTCAATACAAAAATGGCTATAATTACAGTTACGCGCCCGCTGCCTGCGCGGACGCTCCCGGGGGCCGGGGACAGGAGGACAGGGGACAGACGGACACGGACCGCTCCCACCCCAAGCCCCTCCGGACGGGGCCGCAGCGCCCCCTGCCGGCGCAGCCCGGGCGCGATCGGGGGCTCGGCGCTCGGCAGGTGCTGCCTGCCACACCGCCAGGCGGCTGCCGCGCACGCGCCTGCCCGCGCTCCCTGCGTGGCTGGCCCGGGAGCGGCGCCGGCAGCGGGATCGGGATCGGGATCGGGAGCGGCGGGTCCTTCGGGGAGGGAGCGGCGGGACGGGACGGGGCGGGGCAGCGCTGTGCGAAGGCAGGGGGCGGCAGCGGCGGCATGTCGGCGGCGGGCGGTGGTCCCTGCGGCCCGGGCGCGGCCGGCCCGGCCCCGGGCGGCGGCGTGTCCATGTTCCGCTGGCTGGAGGTGCTGGAGAAGGAGTTCGACAAGGCGTTCGTGGACGTGGACCTGCTGCTGGGCGAGATCGACCCCGACCAGGCCGACATCACTTACGAGGGGCGGCAGAAGATGACGAGCCTGAGCTCGTGTTTCGCGCAGCTCTGCCACAAGGCGCAGACCGTGTCCCAGATCAACCACAAGCTGGAGGTGAGCGGGACGCGGGGCCGGGGCGCGTCCCCGGGGGTGCCCGCCGAGGGGACCGGGCCCTGCCCCCGGGGCAGCGAGAGCCTTGCCGGGTTTCTGCCCGCCCCTTCCCTGCGAGCGGCCGGGGAGGGTGAACCAGGCCCCGCGCTTCGGGATTTGGGCCTTCCCGTGGCGATGCTCCCTCTGGGTTTGGCTGTTCCAGCGCGGGCATGGAGCGGTGCGTGCCGGAGGAGCTCTCTTGGATGTGGAAAACAGGAGTCTTGAGCAACAGATGCTGCTGACTCGTCTGCTGTTGGCATTGAGTCCCTGGTGAGTTGGGATAGGAGTACACAGTCTCAAGCTATGCCAGGCAAGGTTTGCGTTGGACATTCGGAAGAATTTCTTCACAGGAAGGGCTGATTAGACTTTGGAATGGGCTGCCGGGGAGGTGGTGGAGTCACCGTCCCTGGGGGTGCTTAAGGAAAGGTTGGACGTGGCACTTTACTGCCGTGGTCTGGTGGACAGTGGTGCTCGGTCATAGCTTGGACTCGATCTCAGAGGTCTTTTCCAACCTAATTGATTCTGTGAATTTGGAAAGCCTTTTTAAAAAAAGGGACAAAGACAAGATCGAGGTGCTTAAAGCTCAGTGTCAGTAGTCAAAATGAGGACATTGTTCCTCCTTACGAGTAAAGGAAAAAGAAAAATGGATTGGGGATGGACTTTGACAGGCCCTCTTGTCCCTTCACACTACAAAGCAGATGAAATAGCTCTCTGCCAAGCTTAGTGACTGAAGATAATAGCAGAGGTCACACATTCTGTGAGAAGAATAGAAACTGTCCTTCCTATTGGAAAGTTTTCTTCATGCCTGATCCAGGGTTTCAGTCAGGGTGGGAAGAAAGAAATATCAGATGGAGCCAAGCTGCCTGGTGCTGATGCTGTTGAGAGGCAGGGTCCCTTGGCTTGTGTAAGGACTGGAGTGCTCTGGAAGGAGGTTCTGGGGAACTTTATGGTCATTTTATATCTGTCCAACCAAAGCATCTCTGGTGTCGTAGGTGTTGTCATTTGTCTTGTCCTTAACAGGCATGAATATGAACTGCCTGATTGTCTTTCAGTAACATATTAGAAGGCTGTTGATGTTTCTTCCTCAGTTACCTTCTCCCTGGGCTGAAGCCCTCTAGTTTTTTCAGTATCTGTTGGAGGCCATACTTTTTTTGAGCTTTATTGCTATTTCTACTAACTTGTAAGTATATAGGAGTAAGGGGGGAAATTCTGAGAAACCATGAAAATACATGCTTTGTAAGAGCTACAGTAGACAGAATTCCATTCTTTCAGTGTTTCGTGCCAAACTTATTATAATAAAGGAATTCTAGAGTCTTCAAGCAGTCTTCTGAAGATATACCTTTCAGTAGGAAGTAAAGTAACTAGATTGGCTTTGATTTTACTCGAGTTTCTTCCTGGTACGAAGATGTTGTAATGTAAAAGAGGCTTAGGATATTTCAGAGTGGAACAAAGAATTTGTTAAACTAGGAGGTTTTTTTAATCACTTTCTTTATTTCACCAGAATGCTTACTGTGGTGATGTTTATGTTCTCCTTTGTGTTTATGTTGCATATGTATACACTATCAACCTATACAGTAGGCTTAATTGTGTAAGTGTAGTAAAATAAGATTTGTGAGTAGATAATCAGTATTTATTGCATATGGGATGGTGTGGGTTTTGTGTACAGACCTGAGTTTTCTGGGTATTTTAAGAGAACGGATTGGTGCTTGTTGCTTGGTAAATATTTCTTTGAAAGGTTGTTTCAGGCTTAAGTGTTTTGAAAGGAAATGGTGTAACTCAGCTCCTGAAAGATTTTCTATCTTTCAGAAATCATCAGGGGCACCTAAGGAACTGAAGATCTGTGCCTAAATCTCATAGGAGTTGAAGAGCAAAGGAGCATAGTTGTTAATAACTGGCATAATTTTTGTGTATATCTATGTCTATGAGGTAATTGTTTGATAAGAATGATACTGATAATCTGGAGTGAGTGCTTTAGAAGTGAATAAAAAGTCTTTTATTCTGTGGAGTATTTTTATTACTAGGAGTAATATTAGGCCTTATACATATAAAGGACTTTTTTTTCTTTCATTTAGACCTTTAGAAGATTTTAGTATTACCTTGAAGGTTGTTAATTTTAGGACTTCATCTTTATTGTGGTCATAAACTTGAAATGAAAGCTGCCATTTAAAATCTCCAAAAGATGGAGCTGCTCTGTTTAAAATGAGTGTCTTGTCTTTTCACGTGCACAGATGTCTAGTGGAAAGCCACAGTGTCCAACATGAAGAGTACAGTAATGTATTCTGAAAGAAATCGCTAACAGTAATACTGGAGCTTAGGATGTGATCAGTGGTTTTACTCTTTTTTTATAATGCAAGTTACTGTATTTAATATAAGTTTTAAAATTGCGGTCATTTCTTAATAACCCACAATTGTAGTTTTATACTGCTTGTACTTTTCATACAAAGCTTTCATCACATTCATAAAAATGTCATCAGTTAGAGTTTACTTAGGTACAAACACTTATTCAAGCCAGTAAGATCCGTCTTCAGAAATATGCCTCTGTTTGGTTTAAAATAATACTTTGACTGAAGCTAAGTTTGATTAAGCTTACTCTTGCAGCTGCATTTGCCTGATCTTGTCTTACTGAATGAGTGATACTGTTTCACAAAGGAAAACAATAAAAAATTATGAACATGGAAAATAATAAAAAATTATGAATATTGTTATGTTGTTCGTGGATTCCATTTCCTTGACCAAAATTGTTGGGTCTTATTATAATATTACAGGCAAGAATAAAAAAATGCAGTTCAGGCTTTAATTTATCCACTTTATCAGCTGAACGTGCATTCTCTGGTTCATAAAATTCCTTTTAAGAGGCAGAGCTTAGTTAGTTTGGTGGATGGAGGCTCCTGCTGTAGGACTTCTCAGAAGAGTTTTTGCCATCTTGGTGTCTACCTGCTGCTAGAGAGTTGAATCCAGTAAAATATGTATGAGGGATGTTCCTGAATAGTGAAAGAGGTGTTCCAGGAAGATGGTAGTTTCCAAAGAGGCAGCCATATGTTGGCAATTCAGGGGTAAGTTATTTTTAGCACAAGCCTGAAGGTATGGCAGATACACAGGGGATGTATGCAAATAAATTTACTGGTGCATTAGGGTGGTGAAAGTTTATAAACATACCACTGTGTTAATAACATTTGCAGTCTTAAATTAAACTAATGGTATGACAGGGAAGGAGGATTTGTTTTCATGGTTTTCCTGCTGGTCACAGTAGGACAAAGTTGAATTAAGTAGCTTATCAAAGAGGGAGAAAAAGTGTTAGGCAATAGAAGCCACCATCTTTTCTGAGATCAGTTTCACTTCGCTATGAACAAGTAGCGGAAGTGTATCTTGGTGGAGGACAGTAAGGGCCTCAGGCTTTTAGAACAAAAGGAGATGACAGCCGTTTTAAAGGAGATTTTTTTGTGGTGCTCTGTCTCTTGGAAAGCTGAATAAATCAGCAGATGCAGGCTAGGAGTCAGTGTGTGAGATTTCAGTAGATATTTAATTAAGAAGCAGTTCATAGGCTTTTGTTTTTCTTGTTTGACTGTGACTTGACTATGGCATTGTCTGAATGTCCATTTTAAAAAAGTTCTGTGTAGTGCAGTACTGTAGAAATAAAATAAGTAGGTCAATGTGCCAGCGAAGACTGAGCTTGACTTTAAGTCTGGCACTTTGCCAATCTGATTCTGCAATTTTAAATGAACAAGCTAGAAAAGAATGCCTGGTGGAGCACACCCTGTGTCTTGGCAGTTGTGTTAAGCCAATATACATGCTGAAGTTAAAGAAAATATATATGTCGAAGAAGTTAATTGCCTGTGTAGTTTTATGTCTGTGATTAACTTGGAATCAGCAGATTTAGAGGAATAAGACAAATTCTTCTGTAAATAACTCCTTACTGTTTCAGCTAAAGCATATGTAAAATAATGTAGGTGATATATATGTGTGTGTGTGTGTATATATATATATATAAATTATATATAAAACTCCCCAACAGCAAACTGAAAAAGCTAAATGTAGGTGGCTCTGTGTGCATGATGACTTTTCATACAGTGTGCGAGTCTGTCTTACGGGGATACACTGCAGAGTTGCAGTCCTGCTTTGTTGTTTGGTTGTACTTCTTGAACCAAGATGGGACCATTCACCTTCTTAGGAAGGTCTGTTTGGATTTTTTTTTCACCCTCTCTCCTTTGTCTTGCACTGAGAAATGCACTTGTTGAAGACCAGGATATTTCTTTGCCCCCTATGAAATATGTTTATAAAACTGGGAGCATAGTTGCAACAACTTGTTCAATTTTTTTTCACGTTTCATGAATGTTTCCAGTATTTAGGGAGGTGTTATTTTATTAATTGTACTTTTGACTCTTAGTACTTTTTCTCTTTTGGATAAAAATCTATTTGTACTAGACAGTGTGGTTTTTTGAAAAATCAGTTGAATGACATTTGATCCAGCTTATTTTATATCCTAAAATGTAAGCAGTTTTCACATATTCAGGAAGTAGAAATACAGATTAATATGCATTTTCCAGTTGGCTTATATGCTAAATTGTCATTAGTTTGATACATATAACTTTTATCAGGATGATTAAACCCTTTTAAAGAGGTCACTTCTACTTAATTCATATTTTACTGTATCAGAAGCCTTGGAATTCTGTGCAAGTTGAGCTAGTGTATTTCGTTTTCAGTTTGCATATAGAAAGGATTTTCCTTTTCTGTCTCATTTGTTGGGAGTTACCAAAGAGAAAGTGAGAGAGAACCAGCACTTTAGTTTATATTTCATCGTTTTATTTACTGAAATATGTTGCATAGGTAGTTTGGCTTTCAAAATAATGCCAATAATAAACCCACCAATATGACTTCGAAGAACAGATTTATGTCTTAGTAAGCAACCAGAAGTATGGGCAACCTGACAAAAAAAAAGTCCTGTGAGGCAGTCAGAAATTTGTCAC